ACGTTTTAGTTTGCTTTCAGCAACTACCGACAAGAGACGGCAGTCTGTCAGAAATCTCGCCACAGAAAAAAACTGCATGTCATGTGACTTAACCAAAGCACATCATTGGCTAAACTAAGGTCTTCTCTTTCCAACAAAAAAAACGAGAATGTTCTCTTAAAGAGACAGTGGCATGGAAATGAACACAAAGAGCATGTTGCCATATGGCCACACCATGCGATAGAGGGTTAAGCGGCTGTGTTATGAACATGCAAAATTGTATCGCACCCGTGCTACAGTGGTAAATTTATTAATCGCACAGACCAGTTTTTTTGTAGCACGTGCGACATATATGTCGCACTGTAAAGCCCTGCACACACACACACACACACACACAAACACACACACACATATATATATATATATATACAGTATATTCTGACTGTTTGCTGGTGCAGGTTTGATGTTGTTTATTAAAAATGTATCAAAGTTGGTATTTATCTAAATGTATGTCAACGAAAAAGGATTACTAATTACTAGTGTAATTATATTTTATATAAATATATAATAAAAAAATTGCATGCATACAGAAAAAAACAGCAGCAGCAGCCATCAGCTCCCAAACTTCACTTCATCTCTTGCACAGCCACTCGATTTCCTCCAACCAGGGAGGAGAGAGACCCCAGCCCTTGTCTGCGCTCATTCCCAACGTGGAAAAGGGACAGGACAGACACCATATCAATCCGACAGATTCCAGCAAACCATCACCCACGGATCATAATTTCTCCATGCCGAATGCGTGTTAGAGAGCGCGCTCAGTGTGGCACACATCAGGCTGCTTTATTGCCATAGCAGCGGCGCGAGCTGCCTGTAGCTGTACAGGAGCCTCAGCTAGCGACGGAACAAAGAACACGCACACAAATATAACCGTCTGCTGAGCAAACTGCTTCCCTGTTCTTTGAGGAGGAGAAGGCAAGACCCCGAAGACCAAAACTGACATGATGTTTCCACAATCCAGGCACTCGGTGAGTGTAAATCGAGCGGTTTGCTGGCGCTGTGTTGATGTTGTTAGCTGGTTTGAGCTTAGCATAGGCAGGACAGGCGTCCGTGCAAGTGTGTGCATGCTGAAACTTATCGCGAAGATTAAATATTTATCATTCATTTTATCACATCACCCTTTTATATTTCTAAACTACACGTTTTTACCTTAAAATCCACTCATGTGTGATTTGGCAGTGTTTGCAAATGGGAACAATGTAAATGTTGTGCGCCTGTGACATTTAACAGTTGGCGAATTGTGTATTAATATATGCAACTTCAGTCCCAAAACCTCCTAATTCTTTTGCGTTATTTTACTAACCATTTATATATGTTTATTACTCTGTAGTTTACAACAAGGCATGAAATTATGAGCTTTAAGCGCCAAATTCGTGTTTATGTTGACATCTTTCAGGTTCCATTAATCTTTTCTAATGAACTCTCATCATTTTGCCAATGGGGTGCCAAAATCGATGTTAACTAACACTACAATCACACTTTTTGAAGAACACAAGCTGATTTCTTTTTTTTTGTAAGAACAGCAAGACTTTTGCCAAAAACCCAAGGTGTAAATCTGTAATGACATGCATTTGCATTGTGCAAGATGTTTTCCCTGCAGCGAATCAGAGGTGTGTGTTGTGCACTACCTTGATCTTTTAGCCAAAGTACAGAGAGTCTGTATCACTGCTTATGAACTCGTTTATGGATTGAGTTACACACATAGCGAGTCGCTTCCTAATCAGCCTAACTAATGCTGTAAGTGATTAAAAGTGGGTTTGTCGTATTCCTAGACTGGTTTGAATGCAGTAACTCGTCACATGTTAAGTTTCTTGCAGGCTGTTGCTGATTAATGAGCTAATACGACAGATACTTTGATTAGGCGCTCTTGATTAAAGGCGTATGGCTGGAAATAGAAGTGAATTTAGATGCCACTGAGCGACATGATTTGGTTTGCTTTACAGAATTATTTTGTAACATTTGATCGCATCCTTATAAAATCAACATAAATGCCATCCACGACTCATTTTGCATCTAAAATGCCATATTTATGAAACTGGATTTTATGTGAGCAGAAATGTAGGGTGGCGTTTGATTGGCTTGTGTAAAGTGGACTTGGTGATGTCATACAGAAAGGAAAGTTGTTTGGGAGGTGGAGCAGTTTGTTGAAAAACGTATTATTTTTTGTAAATTCTGATTAACTTGCAGTGATTAATCGTGCACAATTAGACCAGGAACATGTGGGTCAATGATGTGTGTTTTTGTTCTATTAATTTTTTCTAAAAAAAATTTAAAATGCTATTCATACATGCCATGACTTGAATACACCTGTTTTAAAATGAACATGCTTTTATTTCTGAATCAGAAATCTTTTTTTTTTTTTTTTTTTACAGGGCATGAAGGCAAACAAATTTTATGATGGGGAAAAAAAGTTTTCTTTTCAAGAATCAAATTTTTGCACAATTTATTATTTAAATAAGTCTCTAATTTGGCATAATATTACATAAAATTAACATAATTTGACCATTTAATGACAAGGCAGGTTTAGTTTGTAAAATGTCATGTGGCGCGACCCCCCAAAAACTGAAGGATTTTTATGAATTAATAATTTTTATATTTGTAAAAAAAACTTTTGACCTTGACAAATTTAATTAAAAATGCCATTGCATTTTACTTGATAGTTAAACCACCTGACATTTTAAATTATCATTGAAAATCTTTCCTTGAAAATGGTATAAAAGATTTTCAAAATCATATGAAAGCGATATTAATATTAAGAGTTAATTTTAAAGAACATTTTTAATTGTGAAAACTCTTGTATGTCTGACTTCACTCTTCACTTTTGTCCTAAGGAAATAAATAGGGTCAAGTTTGATGGCACATAGACTTGAACATCTGAAACTCCTATGCGTTAGGCCAATTGTTGGATAAAAATCTCATCCAGCAATATTTAAATCATATTTTTCAGGTATTTGAGCTGAGGTAGTGAACTGAACGGCTCTTTTTCTGTCTGATAATGAATGGCCGACAGGGAGCATGTGAAAATGCGAGGCCGCTTGTAGTCGGTGCTACTGTTTTGCCACGGCGCTGTGACTCCATAGCAACGACTTCTCGCCAGACTTGACACAGAAGGTGTTTACTCTGACCAGACTGAACGCCTCATGACTTCAATTGTCCACCTCGGTGTAGCTGTACATGCAGCCTTTTGATTCCAGCAAGCCCACTCAACCATTTTTTTCAAGGTCATCCAACAATGTTGGTGAAATTTTCGAACCCATACGCTCCTTAATTGGAGTATTAAGACCTGACGCACAAAGTTAAAAGCAGGGATTATGGATTTAACCCCACACGCCCCAAACGCATCCAGCTGTTATGTTCATTTAACATTGCATGAACATTACCTGCAACCGTATCTGGCTTCTTTGTGTGTCTGATGACGTTTAATAGCGTTTTGTCCTCCATTTTGTTAGTTGAATCCAGATCCAGATGAGTGATGTCATAATGGTGGGGATTTGTGAATTGGAGTGCGCCATTGATTGTGGCTTTTCAAGGAGTCGCTTCTGAAAGCCATTGTTGCAGTAATGGCTGGAAAGAGAAGCGAGAGTTGGCACAGAAACGTACACGCACCAATGTGTGTGTGTGTGTGTGTGTGTCGCCCTCGACCTGATGTTTTGGGTGGAGCGTTCGGGGCAGATTTATTAAGTCTGCTCGAGTGAGCAGGACAGACCTCCGTCTTTCCCTCCCCAAATCCCTCAACGCGGCGGATAATCCCTGTTGTCCCACATCTTGCTCATTAAATAAACTCTGTTTCTTACACACACACACACACACACATACGCATACGAGCATGAGAAAAGGCCCACTTCGCCGTTTATCCCCTACATGCTCATGCATGCGTGACGAAAAACCTACTGCAAACTACTTTTTTTGCCATGCTAAGATAAAAAATGGATTAAAAAAGGTCTTCGCAAGCTTGTATAGTTGTGGAAGTTTGAATCTGCCTTCTAGCATTTGCTGATTTAGTCTTTTTTTTTCAGTTCTTATATATATATATATTAATAGGTATATATAACTTATACCTATTTTATTTTCTATTTTTATTTGATTTATTATACCTGTTTTATAATATAACTTATAACTATTTTTATAACCTATATTATAGGGCTGGGAAAATAAATCGATGCATCGAGAATTTTCTGAGATTTTTCCGAATGAATCGCGATTCTTTCTCGAGTCGATTCTGAGCTTAGTTTTGAACAGCAGATGGCACTGCAGGCTTTAGAAACAGCCATACTCTGCTTGTTTCCAAATCCTTACACACACTGAACCTAAAATAATCATTCATAAAATTTGAAAAGGTTGAAGCGAATTACAAGGTTGTTCACAGTGGGTTGTGTTTACATTAATCTGGCGTCATAAAAGCATTCTGAGCCTAGGTGAAATTACAGACTCAGCCGAACGCACAAGTGCTCTTCTTCATGAGCATTTGAGTGTGTGGATAAAAACTAGATTAGAGCGCCATCTGCTGTTAAAATCTAAGCTCAGAATCGATTTCAGAGGAATCACGATGCATTCTGAAAATCTAAGAATCGATCCACGAATCGATTCTGCATCGATTTATCGTCCCAGCCCTACTATATTATAAACTTTTAAACTATATTAAGAAATATATGCAATATTTATGTTTATAATATAAATCATATGTAAATAAAAAATGCGCACACACACAGGTAAATATTTCTTAAATATTATATACATGTGTGTGTATACATACACAGTACACACCTATATTATGTAAACAAACTTTTTGGATGCGATTAATCGGTTTGACAGCACTATTTTATCTATATACTTAAGTATTTAATATATTGTTTAACTTCTAATTTTACACACACACACACATATATGTATAACATAAAAATATAATTTTAATAAAGAAAATCTTAATAAAAACGTATAGATTTTGCAATTCTTGCCTTAGCAATTAAATCAATATTCATATGCTTTTACTATTTAATTTACTATTTTATATATCTATATAAACATTTGTGCTATATTAAATTTATTATATGAACTTATAGTATATATTTATACTACAATTGTTTTTTTAATGAGATAAAAATATATATATATATATATGTATAGTAATATGTAGGGATGTAACGATTCACTCAACTCACGATTTGATTCGATTATCTCAACCGATTTGAATCGTCACATATTTAAATCGATTTTCGACCGGCTCGTGGTAAATCGTTACATCCCTAGTAATATGTAATTTATGTATATAAAATATAAATAAATCTATTGTAATCATGTATATTTGTGATTCTTGCTTTAACAATGATGACTAATAATCTTTGATCAATAAAATTGTCTCCATAAATAGGCATCAACAAATTCAGTGTTCATTTCTGCAGGTTGGAATAGTAACACACACACTCCCAAACAGATGTCTTGGTTGTTGATAGCATAACTGCTCATTAGCATCACAAATAGGTCTTCGAACACCTTTCTGGACTGAAAAAGCGTACGTGGAGAGGACAAGGAAAAAAGTGCAACATAGGTGATACCAATTCCTTTATTTCCCTGTTTTTTTTTTTTTTTTTACATTAAATGATAAATTCAGGCCATTTCAAAAGAGCCGCTGACAATACGCTGTCCTCTCCGAATAGGCTCGGCCCGTACCGTGGTGAAAGGACGAGGCGCGGATGGCTTAATTAGCTTGTCTGACTGTTTGTGTTCCTCCTGGCCTTTGGTGTGAAGGACGCGTGCTGGGATAATTGCGTCGCAGGATTATTTTTACTAGCGCAGGTTTTTTGCCAGTTTGTTCATGGCTTAGAGGCTTTGTATGTTGCACACATGTTTCTGAGTGTGTATGTTTGTGTGTGCGCTGAGACAGACGGACTGCATCAGTATTCTCTGGCAGTGATGGACTTGCGCTGTGGGAAAGCTGCGCCCCAGTGTAAAGCAGCGGTCTGGAACAAAG